TTTGTCTTTTTGTTATTGAGGTGTTGGAGTGTTCTATAAATTCTAGAGATAAGTCCCTTCTCAGATATGTTATTACCAAATATTTTTTCCCAATCCTATGAAAGATTTTGTAGTTAAATTATTTCTACTTTTCTTTAAAAATCACACTGTCTCACAGTGTTATCAGGGCACTGATTTAGCATGGTGTTTACAACTGTGCACTTTTGGAGAAGACTGTGTTTTAATCATTGGCTCTGCCATTTACTATTTGTGTGACTTCAGGTAAGTATTTAATCTCTCTGTGCCTGTTTCCATAGCCCTAAAATGAGGACGTAGTAGTACTTCATAGGTTGTTAAGATTCATTGGGTTTACTCATTAACTCAGATAAAGCACTTAGCATAGGGACTCTCAAAACCAAACCAAACTCACTGTCACCAAGTTGATCCCAACATATAGTAGCCCCCTTTGGGTCCAAGGCGGTAAATTTTTACGGAAGTAGATTGCCCAGTCTTCCTTCTGCAGACTAGCACATAGTAAATGCTCAACAAATGTTAAGTGCCTTTGTTATTGTCATCTCTATTTCAAGAATGATTTGTTTGTTCTTAGTTTATAACTTATAGTTTGTAGTTTCCACGGCACAACCTTTAAAACTGATTCTTGTAGACTGTGTAGCAAACTGGGCAGATGCTGTCCTTTTGAGAGTATAAACCAACTCTGGAACACAACTCCCTGGGTTCCAATGTCAGCTCAACCGTTGCCCAACCATGTGTCCCTTAGGCAAGTTACATAATCTCTTAGTATCTCAGTTTCTTCATTTAGAAGATGGGGATGACGATAGCACATAGGGAGTCCAGGCATATAGGGTACTTAAGACCAGAATCTGGTACATGGTAAGTTCTCAATAAATAAATGGTGCTTATTATTTTTATATTATTATTCAGTGTTTCAAGTAAAGTACCTCTTACCTCAAAACTCAGTGCCCTCAAGTCACTTCCAATTCATACTGACCCCGTTTGGGTTTCCAAGACAGTAAATTGTTATGGAAGTAGATTGCCCCCTAGGGTTCCAGTTATGTGATAAAATACGTGATGTGAAAGACCAGATTTAAAGTACACCAAAACAGCATAGTGGCTGGGTCAGAGTGGAAGGAGAGACTTGACTTTTTTCTTTTTCCCAAATTTTTAGTAATTTGGTTTTATTTTCTTTTTATTTGCTGCTGACAAATGGATGGGATCAAGCCTCAACTACTTGGAATGCTGTGTCTTTAATGCAGTCAGAATTAAACCATTGCGGGTTCAGCAGGAAGGCTTATAAGTATACATACATACCCTTTGATCCAACAAGTCTGCTTCTAGGAATTTACCCAAGGGACTCATTAAGAATGGACACAACAATTTGTCTACAAACATGTTTGTTGTAGCACTGTTTATAATAGTAAAATGATTGAAGACAACCTCAATTCCCAGTAATAGGGCATTGATCACATAAATGATACATCAATTCAGCTGAATATTATGTAGCACTAGAGCCAGTGCGGTATTTGAATATTGGCGTGAGAAGATATTCACGTTCTGTTGACACATGATAAAAGCATCTTAATTGTAAAAATGACATGCCATTTTTTTGAAGCATACAAACACACAGGCTACATATTTGACTATTTTATGCATAAAAATGGGATTCACAGAAACATCAAGGTGTTACCAGTGGTAGTGGTTTGTTTTGAGTGGTAGAATTGTTTTCTTCCTTTGGCTTAAATGCTACAGTTAAAATATTTAGTTTTTATCCTTTTTGTTATCTTTGTTCATTTTTGTTTCAAATTGTCTTCTAGGAAAGGGGATAAAAATCAAAGTTGGTGCTTTTTCATTCCTCTACACCACTTACAGGAAAACATGTTTAGAATAGATTCTTAATTTGGAATCCTGCATGCAGCACCATGTGACCTCCGGCCTTCCCTGATCTTGGTAGTGACCGTTTTTGAAGGATGTGCCCATCCTGCCATTGTCTTAATTGAAGTGTGCCGCCCTCAAAGCTACACTGCTTTCTGTAGTCTGGGTAGTTTAGTCCTGTAAGTTCAGGCTCTTATTAGAAGATGTGAAGGGTCTACTTCTTCTTTCCTGTACCTAATATCTACAGTGGTAGGAAATTAGAGTTTTAGGAACCTATGCATACCTTGCCTGAATTTATCTAGAGTTGTAAGGCCCCTATTTTTCTTTGTTTTTGTAGGAGAGAACAGCAGTGTTTCAGGAATTCTCACATTCTAAAACAGGCGTCCTTCTTTGCACGGTATGTATCATTCTGTACTCCATGTGAAGGGGAAAAGTCAGGTTGAAATACTTCTGTGATGGTGATTATAATTTTTCATTTCTTAACAACTTGCCCTGTGGCCAGCCCCATAGAGAGCAGGAATACCAGGGGCCTCTTAGTGTGGCTGGTTTCTTTGCACTTCTGGTTTGTCACGTGACTGTGCCCCAGATAGCCGACTGCCACCGTGTAGAAGACTTTGCAATTTGCTCACTAATAGTGACAGCTGTTGGTCTGAAAATGTGTGAATCTTGGCGATTTCTACCGACGAAAAACTTGTAAATTACAGCTATCGGGAGTAATTAGAGCTGAGAAACTCTTTCCATGATGAAATGACTCTACTTGCCTCTACTCACCTTTTCTTAAAGGAAACTAGATGCACTTGGCCAGATTTTATTTGCTGTTGCCTACAATTGCCATTTGCCCTACAATTTTCAGGGCCAGTTCATTTGGCCTCAGTCTTTGCAGTCTTGGCTAGCTGCCTCCTCCAGCACAGCAGCTGACCTTTTTAATGCCTATCTCTTGTGCTTTTCCAAGATTGAAAACTCAACACCTTCTACAGCCCTTCATCTCTGGGGATTCACTTTACCATAGTAATTGTTCTCTCCTAAGATTCAAATACCTTCTCTGTTTGTGCCATCTTGGAAGATGTAACTTAATCCCCAACCAGTTATTCAAGAAGTCCCATATATACAGTCATGAAATTGCACTATAATTTAGTAAATCCACTGATCAAATGCTAGGTAGAGACATTTAGATGTTTGAATACCTGTCTAGGCCACACTTAATGTGTGGAAATTATACCCTGTGTTCTATTTTAAAGGGATTAGAGACTGATTTTTTTTCTAAATTATTTAGAGTCTCTGAATGAGGGCTGTTTTGTTTCTTGTGTGTGTATATGTATGTATACACAAGAAGGCCCACTGAGTGACCTGCTTATTACAACACCGATTCTCTTATGTGTGGCAAACAGAGGCTCTACTGACTCTCTGAGCAATTGCAGTAGATCTGGAGCCAATCACTACTGAAATACTTGCTTTCCAAGAAGATTTGTACCTGACCAACTAACTCTTCCCCTTACAAAGCCATTTCACAAGTGAGATTCTTGTGTTTTTCCTAAAACTATCTTTTAAATGTCTGGTCTAAAGTGAAAACCAAAAAACCAAACCCACTGCCAAGAGTCGATTCTGACTCATAGCAGCTGCCCCGTGGGGTTTCCAAGGCTGTACTCTTTACAGAAGCAGACTGCCTTATCTTTATCCTTGGAGCAGCTGGTGGATTCGAACCACTGACCTTTATTTAACAGCCCAGTGCTTTAATTATGGTGCCACATGAGCTCATCTTGGTCTAAGGTGAAAATGAGTCTAAATAATCTTGGAAATAAATTTGTCAGAAATCCTTATCATGTCTAATAACACTTTCTGCAAACTAACCCTTACCTTTCACCCACTTTCTCCCTTGCTCGATACTCTTCAGTCAAACAGTTCCTTGAATGTGTCAGTCTTGCTTTTTCTGACCTTGGGGCTTTGGTACATGCTATGCTTTCTGCGTGAACACTACATGCCCACACGCAAACACACCCAACTTATACTAACCCCTACTTAGATCTCAGCTTAAACTTTACCTCTCCAGGACAGTAAACCCCCAGATCCCAGTCTGGAGAGTTAAATTCTTCTCTGTTAGGCACTCGCTGTCTACCCTACATTTAACTCTGTAATACTCATCATGCTTGAACTAGATGTCTTTCTGCCAGATAAATTCCATGAGTTAGAGGCTATTTGGTTTATTGGTATCTGACACAGAGCGGGCTCATAGTAGGCACTCAGTATTTGTGGATCGAACGGGTGGAGACATGGGGTCCAAGAAACTCAGTACACCAATATGTACTGTTTTCTAAAGTCAGAGGAAGGCTGAGATTCATATGCTTGCTCATTGGGAATAATTTAACTTTTTCATATATATGGTATTGTCTGAGGAGTAAATGTTATAGATTATCTATATTGAAGTAGAAAGTAGTAGGAATATTTGTTTCGGAGTTTCAGTTTATGATAGGAACAAACTGATTTATCTTTGACTCTTAAGATGCTGAGTTTATCTTTGGGAAATTGTCAAGTCTCCTAGTATGCCAGTGCTTTACAGTCATGGGGGACTGCATGTTTCAAAGAAAACTCCCCATATCTGAAGTTTAGGTTTTTTTTCTTAGTAGCTCTACCTGGAACAAAAGATCAATCTTTTGAAATGTAATTCTTAGTGGGGTCAAAAACATATGATTACTTTCCTTGTTCTGTCTGGCTAGTTCCTGCATGCAAGTGATGTCAATGAAACAAAGGAGGCCATTGACTTGGCAAAGCGTAACATAAACACACCTTGAAGTCCTGGGTGCTACAACTAAAGCAACTCTCACTTGCCCACAGTCTGATTTCCCTAAAACCTCTTGGTTCATATTCATTTGCTTATCTAAGTCATTTCCAGGACACAGATCCTCTGCCACACTCTCTTTCTTCTTTACTCTGCAGTGAAAAGTACTGACAAAGAGTTGATGGGGGCTGGCTTCTCTCCATTCCTAAGCCAAGACGTGAACACAGGTCCTGTGATGAGAAGTTTACTCATTCACTCTCTCAGTGTTCCTGCTACTTCTGCCATATTTGTTTGCTTCAGCCTGACACTTTCGTCGTCTGAGAGCCACAGGGCACATCAGACATGCTGTAATAGATCATGCCTGGGTTGGGGGAGATATTGTCACTCTGCATCCTTTTAAGCAGCCTGTTGCTTGCCAGGCTATCTGCATGCTCTCCAGGAGCCTCCTTAGTGTTAATGAGGAACGAGGGCCACGTCAGGACAAGGCAGATGGAAAACTGGCTTCTTTTGATAAAGAGGAGTCATGTTGTTAATTGTTATGGGGGGACTTTTCCCCCTTTATACTGTACCTTTTGCTCTTTTGATTTATCATCCTAAAAATCCTTTTAATGAAGCTGGGAAACAATGTGTGTATGAAAATTTGAAAGTTGTGGAGTGTCTACACAAAAGCCCATGATTACCTGTTTCCTTTACTGTTACACAGTTTCCCCTCCAATATACCATTTTCCTCCCTGCTTTCTTTGTCTTTTCTATTGTTAGTAAGTTAAAGATACGGGTATGTGTGTTTTCTTTCATCTCATCAACATCATAAAAGGAAGGACCTTTTTAGTTTTATGCAACTCTCAGGTCCTAATGCATGGATATGTATTTAAAAAAAACAACCCACTGCCATCAAGTCTGTTCTGGCTTGTAGCTACCCTGTAGGGCAGAGTAACTACCTAGGGTTTCCAGGGTTGTAGATCTTTATGGAAGCAAACTGCCTTATTTTTCCCTCACTGAGTGGCTGGTATATTTAAAACACTGACCCTTTGGTTAGCTGCTTGAATGCCTTAACCACTGCACCACTAGAACTTCTCTATATACTGTGAGTGTAAATGTTTGATGGGCTTGAGATGAAGTAGAGGTGACACTAACATAACACAGGTGAGATTCAGTAAAGGCAGAGGTAAAAGGGTAGTTGGAACAAGAGATACCAGTTTGTGAAAGATGAGAAGTCTTCACACATCTGAAATGTAATTTGCTCTGGAAAGTTAGATCTAGGAACAAGCCGTGATAAGTAGGGAGTAGGGACTAGCGGGCAGGAATCATGTGAAAGTTCAAAGCTCACTTTCCCAAATAGAAATTAAGAAATCAAAGGAATAAGATAGAAGATATTGGATTATCTACAAAATAATATTTCCTCCTCCTTATAGTGAGGTACTCACCCTAAGCCACAGGAAGGAGGCATAGTTTTTAATATCACTTTTATATTTATGAATTGATAAAGACAAATACCACTGAGTGAAAACGGTATTTCCAAGCCACCTCTGATTTCAAGGCTTACAGGAAGCTCTCTATTGGTACGTGTGGCTTTCTCTGGTTGTCCCTGGATAAATGAAATACAGTAACCTTTTCCCCGGAAAGTAGAGACATTTCCAGTTCCACCTAGATTGATTATTCACAAGAGAATACCTTCTTGACAGTCCACACACTTTCAGAAGATAGCAAAATCACCTGGGCTGCTTTTTTTTCACCTTCCCTTTCTCTTTCTGCTTGAAACTCACTGTTATATCTGTACAGTTCTTAATTTCCTCTCCTCCTGGGGAATTTCCCTGTGCCAGGAGGCTAGGAGACAAAGGAGATGAGGCCGTCAGAGTCAGAAGAATGTCAATTCACTGCCCAAAATAAACTTAGACTTTCTTGCTTTTCTCCGGGATCTGCTTTTCAGGTGAAGTTTCTCTTTTCCATTTTATTTCATTTGTGTTAATGGAAAGATCATTTGGAGATTGTTTGCTGTTTATTCAGTTACACTAACTCATGTTGCCAGTTTTTTGGCTGCTCCAGCCAAGATCTCTCGCCTCTGACAGCTTCTCCACTCTCTCCTTCCTCCTCTGATTACGCAGCCCAATCTGTCACCCGGACAACGGGGGCCTGTACCCTGCTGATGGCTTTCCACACACGGCAATAATGACTTTTGGCAGGCCGAGAAGGCGTCAGAGGCGAGTTTGCTGCGTCCCTTGCTCAGAGAGCCAGCAGACCCCCTCTCCCTGTTAGTAAAAGCACTTTGTGAGGTTCTTGGGTAAATAAATGAGTCATTTTAATCCAACTGACAGGCTGGCACCTGAGCAAGCTGCCTTCCATCTGTACTCCTAGGTCTCATGGAGGCAGCCAATTGTCAAGCCTTAAGGCCTTTAAGGCCTCACTGTTGAGTGTCTTTCAGAACTGATTTTAGTGATTCTTTTGCCCTAATTAGGTTGAAGAAGTAACATTGGGCTGTGCTAAGTTCTAAGAGTGGGTAGAGAACTGAAGTCTTTGCTGTCTTCACAGTTTCCCATTGATCAGGTGCAACTGGCTGACAGCATTCCAGGAAGATAGAACAATCTCTCCTTCTCTATGGTCCTCTGCCCAGGTGCAAGTGAATGGGGTGTGAGGCAGGAAGAGATTGAAGAGGCATTTAAATCACTGCCTAATTACTCCCATACCAATTCTTACTTCATCACGAAATGTAATACAGGTAGTCCCTGAGTTAACAATGTATTGGGGTAAGACAAACCACTTAACTACTGTCCACACTTACGACTCCCCCACACACACACATAGTTAGTAATATGTACTACTATATTCTAGGATGTAATTTGCTGATGTTATTCTCAGATGTTACTTGCCGATGTTCAAAGATCAGATTTATAAAGATACTAATAATAAGAGACAATAATAATGAAAGTTTTAAAAAAAAGTATTTGACTTATGACAGAACTGACTTATGACAGTCATTGTAATGGAACCCCATTGTAAGTTGGGAACTATCTGCACTTAGATTTACAATTCTCAAAACGCTTTTCACATACAGTATCTCATTTGATGTTTACAACTCCATGAGATAAATAAAGCAGTTGTTCATGGCCATTTTGTAGGTGGGTAAACCAAAGCTCACAGAGCTGAGTTGACTTGTCTAAATTGTATGACTAGTAAAGTAACACTCAAGTGAATAGTCCAGACCTCTTCCTAGACCAGGAGTATTATTCCTTCTCCCATTATGTGATAGCCTAGGCTGAGAATAGAAAGAAGTGTTTGAAGAATTAGCTGCATTAAATTGAGGTGGAGAAAACAAGTAAGCAGTGGTTGCCTGTCTTACCCCCTGCCACAAGAAGTAGTGGGAAGCAGGGCCAGAGATTGTCTCTCATCCACCTCCCCTGAGTGGAAAATAGAACCTTGAATGATCACAATAAGAGGCTGCTGGCATTCTTCATAACTCGTGACTTCAGCATGTTTATGCTCAGAGTGAGTTTCATGAACATCATGTGCTATTTTAGAGTTTTATCTGTGTTTCTTGGTTGAATTTACTAAACTGAAGAACATTAAATTTTTTACAAAGCCTGTCTGAAGCACAGGCAGCCCATTGTCTACCTGCATCTCCTACTCTGCAGAGCACTTAAAGAAAATAAATCATTTCTTAACAAGAGCTTAGCAGATTTAAGAACCCGTCAGTTTTTCTAAAGACATCAGCCATGGTTAGTATAGAAAGCAATTCCTACTTCCCTTTAGATAGTGCCAAACTCTAAATTGTGTTCTTAAAGCCATCAGCTCTGGAACATCAGACTTCAGCTTTTCAGGTCATGTGAGAGCTGTCTAGAAGCACTTCATGGGTGGTTGACATTAAACTTCTGCTACACACTTAATAAATACGTCATTGCCACCATTCAGAGGAAACCAGCTAATCTCAGCAGTAGTCAACAAAGGCAGACAAATCCTTACTTACCCTCAGTGGTCTTTTTGGGCTGCTTACAGATGTGGTGGGACAGTGTATTCCCATAGTCCTGACCCTGACCCTAGGGAATGCAAGAAGTAATTAAGGTACATGCTTCTTGCAGAAACTTTGCAGAGTTTTATTTATTTTTTCTCCTTGAAAAGCCCATATTCATTACAAAACCTTAGTGATAGTTAAAAAAAGTTGATGATGGTGGGCTCTTCCTTACAGAAGAATGTCATCCTGTTAAGTGGGATGAAGAAGTAATAGACTGAAGTGTCGTCATTTTGTAGCCATCAAAGTAACCATTGATACAGATAAGCGCATTGATGCTAAAACCATTGGGTAAAGTGTTTTGGAAACAGGATATTTGCATGGTCTCAAAACTTCACTCCCCAGATTACTCAGTACTTACATAGGAGAAAAGTACCTTCACTATATAGAGAGCCGGTGGACACCACTTTTTTTTACTCATTTATTGAACATGGCATTACCATTAGCCAGGCAGACTGCACTGGTATGCTTCTTGGTGTAGTGTGGTGGGAGGACATACCACCCTGTGCCCTGCTCCTGCCAGTGTTTACCACAATGTTCCACCATGCCGAGACAATTAGGCAAATCCAGACTGTGGGGTGTTTTCAAGACACCTAAACTCTTCAAAAACAAGAGTCATTAAAGACTAAGTAAAAGTCAGAGAGATACTGTTCTAGATGAAGAAAAAAAGTTGAACATAGACTGTTTATTAGAAAATTTATTCAATATTAAATTTCTTAGGTGTGATAGTGATATTGTGGTTATATAGAAAAATATCTTTTTACTTAGGAAATATATGCTAACATATTTAGGGGTGAAATATCCTGACATTCATATGGGAAGAAATATGTATGTAAGTTGCCTCCTGGGCTTATTTTGATATTATTCTTAAAGATCTTTGTTGGATTTCTTGCTTTTAGGCATGACAAGATGTCCTGTATATTGCTTGTTCCAGGCCTTATTCCAATGAATGAGAATTTAAAAACTACAATCTGGGTGTAGGGGTATTCATTGCTACTGATTGACATTGTTTCTAGACCTTTTCAATAGACAGACCTAGGAAATAGACAGGTGTTTTTGTTTTAAAGAGAAAAAAAGTATGAGTTTATATTATTTCCAGTTCAAATTTAAAATGGTATATAGGAATCTCTTTTCTCTTATGCAGAAAGTCTTGGTTCCTAATAACATGAACATAATTGTTTTAATGATATTTAATTGCTCTATTCAGTTTAAAATATATAATAGTTTTAAAATAACAATATTGGTATTACCATAAGGGATAAGTTCACTGAATACAATTTAAGATTTCTTTATGGTTCTTTTTGACCTTAGACTCTTTTAAAGTCACTTGAAATAATTCTTCCCTTTTTTTTTGTATTTAGCTTTAAGCTTGCTGTACGTTTTATAATTTAATTTTGTTTTTAATTATGTCAAAACTTACATGGACTCAGAGTCAAAATTGTAAAGATGTATTAAGAGAAATCTAGCTTCTGTACTTATCCCTTCTCTGTTCTTTCCCTCTCTCTATGGGTAACTATCTTTGTAAGCCATTGTTTCATTTTGAAATATAAGCAAATATATTTGTATTTCCTCATTTCTTACACAGAAGTATGCTGTATACACCCAAAATATATCCTAAAGATTCTCTATATTAGTACATAGAAATCCTCGTTCCTTTATTATATGGAGTATTGCCATATTTTATTCAATCTCTCTCTTGCTGATGGGCATTGGGATAATTTCCAGACTTGTAATGCAGATAATGTTGATATGAATAGCATTTTACATATTTAATTTTGTATATTTTGCCAGTGTTATCTTTGAGATGGATTTCTGGAAGTGAGATTGCTATGAGTCAGAGGGCAAGTGCATATGTAGTTTTACTAGATAACACCAAATTCTACTCCATGAGGGTTTGTACCATCTTGCATTCCCAACAGCAGTATAATGAGAGATACAGCAACATTTTTTATTTTAGAATGCAGTATTATGTAATGTGCCCTTTAAAAAGTAAAGCAGACTTGGATTTGAGGATGTTATCTCTGCCTCTTGGCTGTGTGTTCCTGGATGGGTTACTTAATCTCTCTGAACCTTGGTTTCCTCATCTGTTAAATGGGGGGAGTAATAGTATATAGAGTTATTTTGAGGATTAGTTAAGAAAATGCAGGTAAAATGTGTAGCAGGTGTCTGGCGTGTAGTACTAGTACATGCTCATTAAATGTTGGCTGTAGATATTCTTGTTAATACTGTTGAATTTGATGATTGCAAATTTATCAACAAAGACAGGAGGATTCCAGTTTTCTAGTCTCAGTCAAAATGGCCAGAGACTGGAGCTTTGCTCTTTGGGTAGCAACTAGCTGAAAAAACAACTATAAAAAATCTCTGTTGCTTTTGTAGTTTCTTCCTTCTGTACTTAAATCTCTGAAGTGATTAACAGGTTTGGCCTACATTCTAATTTAGCTGTCAGAAGGGACAGGGCATTACTTGATACTTACTGCTCTCTGAAATAAGCAGCAAAGTCTGCAGTAAATACTTTGCTACTTACCTCCACCACTGAATACCTTGAGGGATCATCTTTAAGATGTACTCCTCAAGACCATGTGGTTTTTTAGACTTTACTGGTAGGCATAGCTTGGGAATAATAATCCATGAACTTATGCATTAAGTGGTTTTTCCAATAATATATGAGAGTAGTAAAACATGCTAGAGATTTTCAGAATTGGTTTCTTCATCTGTCAATGCTAATTACTCTTGAAGTTCTTGGATGGAAGATCCTCCCAAATAAGGGCTTTTCTAACCTATACGTTATGTTCTTTCAGTGGAGGGGCTATGAATGCCCCATTGATGGGTTCTCTAGTACTTTCCCCTAAATCAGTTTTTAATCACAAGTGGACTTTAGTTGGTCCATGAACCCCATAGTTTTCATTAGATTATCATAACATCCATGATCCAAAAAAGGTTTAGAAACACAGTCCTAAACTGTATTCTTTTTGTTTTGAAGGATGTTGCAGCTCGCGGCTTAGATCTCCCTCGAGTCACTTGGATTGTTCAGGTAATTTTTTAGTTGTTAAGGTGTGAGCTCCAGGCAGGAATATATGATCATGAGTAGATGCTTTAGCTTTAAGTAATTACTATCACCTGCTTGAGTGTTGCCCTGGTAACCAGGCAGTAACCAGCCTTATCTGCACAATTCTCCTGACATCCTTCCTTTACCAAGCCCACCTAAACATTGCAGCAGAACAGCCAGAATATGCAGTCACATAAGGGAGGAGCTCTCTTGCTTTCAGACTAATGCATGTCACAAATGAAAGTTTCAACAATTTGAAAATAAGGAAATTACCCAGGCCCCTGGGCAGCTTCATTGTGTCCAGAAGGAGATGGCTCAGCTGTCCTGAGAGCTGTGTCCATGTTCATTGACCTGCAGGGAGCAGTTAAGTTCCTGACAGCATCTTACACATACCTCCAGCCTCTAGACACTTTGCCAGAGGGTACAGGTATTAGCACTAGAGTCTAGTGGTTTTAGTTTTGTTTTTTATTTTCGTTAGTCTGCTGAATGGTATTTTTAAGCCCCTTCTATGTGGGGGCCGGGGGCCACGTGCCCTGTTTACGTCAGTCATGGTTTATTCACATTTTAATGGAATTGCATGCCTGTCACTGGGTGGAAAAAAAAATCTGATCTGATCTGCTCATCACAAAAGACTAGAGCCATTGTTTCTTTTTTCTTACTGGTAAAAGAACACATTAAAGATAAGAAGGAAAGGATAATTTTAGCATATGATAGGCCAGCCATACAAAATTGATCATTTAGAGCCTTCTTACATGTGACCGTTGATTAGTTTAATATGCTTGGCTTCCTGTATAGGACATTCATCTCAGCCCTCTGATCTTTGATTCATGTAGCAGTAAAGAAAAAAGGAAGAAATACATATATGTTCAATTAGCTGTAATGATGATGAGGTTATTGCCATAGATAACATAAAATGCTATGCATAATTCATTCTGCTGAGTATTTATAGAATCTGCCCTTTTTCCTGAGTCAGGAATACTCTCCAGGGGAGCAGGCATGTCCCTGCCTCCCAATTGCATTGCACCTCAGCTCAGTTGGGACCGAGTGTCACAGCAGTGAGGTGGTAGGGAGGAGCTCCTTGGGCTTACATTTATGGCACAGCACAAGAGATGAACTCAGTCATTGATCCCTTTCATCCTGGCATTGTCCAGTGTCCTCTAGTGCCTAATCCCTACTGCTTTGTCTACCAAGGAAGTAGGCCAAGGTCATATGGTCATCCTGGAGAAATTTACCCCCACCTGCCTACCTTTTCATCCTTGCCCAGTCACCACAGTGAGAAGATGCAAATAGGAAAATGAAGAGACCTGTGGAGAAATAAAATTAAAAAGGAGTTATTGGGACAAGAAGATGTCTCGTTTACCTGAAAATTGGCCACTGTTCATGTTTGCATGTCAAAGCCTTGTTATTTCCAATGAAGCCAGGAGTTTCAGGGTTGAGTGACTTCTTGTGATTGTCTTAGGGTAACCGTAGCACCAGGATTTAATTCTTGGGATACCTGGAGGCAGGTGAGGGGTATTGCACTTCCAATTAATGACAAGCCCTTGATCTACGAATGCCTTTATTTTTGTTACCCTTTTTAGTACAATGCTCCATCTTCACCTGCAGAATACATCCACCGGATTGGAAGAACCGCCCGGATTGGCTGCCATGGGAGCAGCCTGCTCATTTTGGCTCCTTCAGAGGCAGAATATGTCAACTCGTTGGCTTCTCACAAAATCAAGTGAGTCAGAAACCTGAACAGGGTTTCAGCTGATCTCACCTAATTAACTTTCTGTCGTATTTTACAGTGGATGGGCCTTGTAAGCTGACGAAGAACCATTAACCCTTGTGATCCCTAAATGAGTCCCAGAATAGCCAGTGGCAAAAAGTAAAACCCTTAATACTATCAGCACATGACAATTTGCATTGCATTGCCAGACTAAGTAATAGAACGTTCTGTTGCATTTCATTTTTCTTTGAGACACAGGTCTGTGTTTCATTTCTCTACTGTAAAATAAGTGTATACACAACCTTCATTCATATCTAGCTTCTTGAAGACCTTTTTTATTCACAGCTCTTATTCCTCACAATTAACATTTTGTATCTTTAAAGTTGATTTATCTTTTAAAACATCAATACTTTTTATTCATCACACAACTTCCCTCCCCTCACGGAACAGGAAATTTAGGGATAGTTGAATTGTATGCTATACATTCACAAGCCATGCTTTCCAGCCACCATTTTGTATTCACATAAACCAGATGGCAACACCTCACATTCTCCTGAATAAAGCCCTAGATTCTAGCCTGGGCCAGCGGACTGAACTGAGTGCCATGGGAGGCCATAGAAGCTTAGTCAAACTGTGTTTCTCATTAGGAAAGACAAAACAAAACACACATACAGAGCAACATCTTTTCCTAGCCGAGAGTAAGTATAATGAAACCAGAAAAAGTTTACCTGGGCCACAGAATGAGCTTGTGTTGTCATGATTGCCATAAAATCTCCAGCACCTAAAGCATGAGTTCTAATATTGGGCTTTTGAAGGCATGCTGTTTTCCTAAACTACAGAGCTGGGAAAATCTCCACACTATATGTCTGAACTGAAAAAAATGATACGGAGACCTGATCTGGGAGGCCTGCAACAATAAGTACAGGAGGCCGGTAGCAATAAGTGCAGACGACTGCCTGGAAGAAGAGCTATGTGTGTGGTCCCTACCATCACCTGTATTTCCACCAGCAGAACTCTCACTCTTACCCTATTAAGACTTCTCCAAATTCTTTCAAGATGATAAATGTGAACTCTTAGGAACGGAGGCTTATTCAGGAAATATGCTTTATGTCCTTCAGTGTCAGAAAGGTAGGAACATGCTCCTAGTGGATCAGATAAAAATTTCAAATGGCTAAAATAAATATGGTTTGTGTTTCCCTTTTATTTTTAATCTATCTCTTAGTACAATTTGTCAATTGAAAGAGTATTTTTTATTTGTTTCAGGAAAATGTACATATTTTATCTTATTTGTGAGAGAAGTTCCATGCAGATCAGTCAGTCAATCACTGTTCACCAAGAGTTTTATCTACAGCTAGATTCTGTGTTTCCTGAGTCTGGAGACAGCTGGCATTTCTCCTTGACATCTTTTCAGTGTCTAGGCCAGCACCCTATCCAGAAAGATGTACTCCAGAAATACTGGTGGAATTAAAGTGAAAGTCCATTGGCATAGCCCTTTCTCTTTTCTTGCCTTGCTCTGTTCCCATTGGTTTTAAGCCCATCACAATTCTGTAGCTTTTTCCTATGTCACAGAGGAATTTGTGTACATATAGAAAGCACTTTCAGAATTTTGTTTGTCTTCCCACAATAGAAAACTTTGTCACTGCACCTGAGCAGTCAGTCTATCACTCTACAGTTGCTTTTCCTCCTCCTCCTATTCTTGACCTACAGATTCACATCCACTGGCAGCTCTCCGGATGCCTCCCATTCTTGCTCACGTTGACATGATCTCCTCAGAAGAATGAGAGCAGTAACAGATACAAAGTCAAATGATAATTTTCTAATGCTAGGGAGCTCTGGTAGCATAGTGGCTAAAGCACTTGACTGCTAACCAGAAGGCTGGCGGTTCAAACCCACCAGCCACTCCTCAGAAGGAAGGCTGGGCAATCCTACTTCCGTAGTGATACTGCCTCGGAAACCCAAGGAGGGGTCGCTATGAGTCGGGGCCGACTCCACGGCACATAACAACAACAACAACAATGCTAGAGTTAACAGCTTAAGCTCCTCTCTCTCCCTCTGCTCTTAATTTTTCGTTAATAAACCACTAAAGTTGATTTCTACGAAAGGCTCAAATATAAACCTAAAACTGAAAGGGGAAAATTATAATTAGCATGGACACTATTCGCAAGTCAAGTATATTTCAAAGATATAAAAAATAGATCATCCTCTGTGATGATCTCCTCTGGAAAAATAATATGCTACCTTTAGTGTGAAGTTCAATGTAATTTTCACATTAAAAAGAAGACAACTCAGTTATGCCAGTGACTTGGACTTGGAGAGAAAGTTGAAAAGGATAAAGATTGGGAAGTACTGGGAGGAAAAGATTTTGATCTTTTGGGGGAGAATATACAGGGTGGTTAAAGAGCATTCATTTAATGAGTGAAAGTGTTCTGTCCTAGTTTGTTCTTGATCGTTTCTGTCATGAAAACTCACTTACTGAAGTATTCTTGAAAAACTGACTATTTCATTGGGCTAGATTAGATATAATCAACCTAGGAAAGTATCAGAATCTTCTGGTAAGTAATAGCCATGTGTTATACTTCAGATTTCTGTTTGAGGAAGGGCTATACGTGGGATATCTACGCATAGGCTGTTTCTTTGACTTAATACCAAAAATGAAAAAAATAAACCTAAGAAGAGCTACTTGCAAGGTGTACAATGCAAAGAAGCAGACTTGAACATTTTTTAAATCCAAAAGGCACACTCTTGGTATTTAAAAAAAAAGAAGAAAAAGAAGAATATATGTATGTTTTGTGCATAAGAACATGAGAGCCAGGCAGCAGGATGATGGGATGGCTGATGAATTACAGAGAAGATTCAGAAAGGCAGGCCAAGGCTCTCGGCAGCAAGGGCCATCAGAACAAATTGCCGCCTGCCTTCATATCCTGAGCGCTGTGGAACTAACCCTGACAATTTAATTTAGCAGGCAGGGCAAGAGACAGGTGCCCTGGGCCATTGCCGCCTCTGTGGAAAGGCTCAGAACTTAACTTCTACATTCTTTTGACTTCTTTGTATTTGCCATCTTCTTGCATTTTTTCTATCTTCCCTTTAAATGTGTTTCTAATGAAAGTCATCATTGGTTTATTAAAATGTAAATGCTTCATCAAAACGTGTGTTTCTTAGATCAGGCATAAGACAGTTCCCTGAATTTATTTATTTATCTATTGCTTTTCATAGTGAGGTAGGGTGATTCAGATCTGTTGATAGAACCATAAATAAATAGATTTGCTTTGTTCCTCAGAAGAAAAGATTTCTTAGAAATAAGAAGAAGGCCTTTTAAAACTATAAATCACCCCAGTTCACTCTCAACTCCTATCCATTTAAGGTATATGGGTTCCCAGCATTGCCTTATGGACACAATGTAGGACCTGTGCCCCGGCTGAAATGTCAACATTTCTGTGTGTTTAAGAAATTACCTTTCTGTGGCATATTCAACTTTTTGTATCCTTGACTGAATGGCATTTTTCTTTTCTTCCTTTCCTCCTTTAAGATTTAACTCCCAAGTTCTTTTGTTTCATTCACTTTTTTCCTAAAGAAGAAAATGTCACAAATAGAGGCAAGTCGTATATAGGGGGGGAAGAAAGATAGGTCTGGGCTATGTTTCTACCTTCTTTCAGCTTTCCAGACATAAATAAGAGGCAAATTCAATAGCCATAACATTTCAGTCTTGTATGAAAAAATAGATTTTCCATGCAACCAGAACCATTTTCACTCTCACCCCCAACCTTTCAGTATATCCTCTGCCTTCTCTGACTCTTACTGCTGTAAAAATATTCCACATATCCATAGGGCTGTGCGCTGGCAGTAGCAGGAGAGAATGTTGAAGGGTGGGGGTTGGAAGGTGTTCAGGGAAGAGATGACACATTTCAGGTAAATCGCTGTCATAGACTTGACATTTTCATTCATAGCTTTGTCAGAGTAACCTTTGGGGAAAAAGGGGAGAGGTGTCTTCTCCCACATAAGAGGTTGCCATTCATGTTTTAATTTGCTGTTACATTTTCAAAAAACAACATACAAAAAAATCATTTATCTTTTTATGATCTGTTTTCTCCCCCCAGAACTCCTCCTTCCCTTTCCCTTTCTCCTTGGGAAATGTGTTTTCAACAGCTCATATTTCCTCCTTAGTCTCTAAGACGTGATTCCAGATCTGCATTCCATATTCAAGCACTGTAGCTCCCAGACAGTTGGATGAAGTATGGACTCTCCAGACTTCCCACTTGTAGGCAGGGTGGACTGTTTTGTCCTCACTTCTGATGGTTTCTGCCCATATGTGACATCCTGAAGTCTGCTTTCAGCACTTTGCACATAGCTCTTGATTAATAGAGATCATTTGGTCCTCACCTCTTAAAGATATCCAGGGTGAAATAAAATAATCTTGGTCCTCTAGAGGAGAGGCTTGGGTCACTTGTGAACTTTCACTGTGATATTTACCCAAACAGTTAAGGAAGACTCTTTAGCTACCTTTTTTTTAAAATAAAGTACAAAAGTAAAGGGACAACCTGCTGCTTTTTCAAGTGCATCAACTTTTGCTAGAATCTAGATAGTGTAACAATAAGCAAGACTGCTTATTTACCATGCAAGATTAAATAAGAAATAATGACATGTTCCCTATAAAGGAAATTCTAAATTTAGTATATTTTAAATTCATCCAAAGGAAGGAAATATTCAAGAATATTGCCCTATCTGTCCCTGCAATATCTTAGAGGTCCCCTTCTTTCCATATTCCTAAAGGTTTAGGAAAAATTCCCTTTCCTGTGAAGCTGTAGTTCTACATTATGTTTAACTAGCTTGAGAATAAGCTAGTTTTGTGCATCAACGTTTGGGGTGTTTTTGAAAGAAAAAGTTTACCTTGATATGCCCTTCCTTTTACAGTATTTCTGAGATTAAGATGGAAGATATTTTGTCTGTTTTGACAAGGGATGATTGTTTTAAAAGAAGACGATGGGGAAACCAGGTGAGATTTATTTATTGTGTTTGCTGCTAACCGTATGACTCATTTCTTGATTTGGAGTTGTGGAGATTCTGTGTATGGGTCAGTTGTTTTCTCTGTCAAGCAAAACCTATATTTTAAGGAAGTATAGAATATTAATGAATATTAGATGAGTACAGATCATGATTGTGTTTTTTTTTCTTTTTGGCTTCTGGATGTGCTTATTGATCTCATCCAGCTAATGGGCTGTAGTCCATTCTGGAAGCCAGCCACATAGCAGCGGGCTTTCCAGAAAAGAGATGTAGGCCAGAATGAGCTTGGAGGCAGTAGTCTATGTTCAACCCTGGTGGTCCCTCTCCAGATTATCAACAAGGACAACAGACTAGACTCATTCATCCAGGACAGCATGGAAAAATAAATATCTCTGTGTCTGCTTTCAGACTCATTTAGTTCATCCATTTTTTTTAATGTGTGTTTGCTATACACAGAGGAAGAGTAAAGTTGAGATCATTAAGAAGAAAAATTTTTATTATCCATGCAGTTCCATATGGAGATCTGAGCAGTTGTAGACAGCCCTGAACATCCTTCCCTGTTTTCTTTTCTGAGGCTTCACCCCTGCCAGGCAGTCATTTCCCCACCTCAACACATTACTTAATATAATGTATACTTGTGTATGTGTGTGTGTATGTGTGTGTAGTGTTGTTATATATAATTTTGTCCATGAAATAGTAATTATTTGAATATTGTATATTTATTTGCTTATACTTGAGGATAGATTGGAAAAATCAGAGCCAATTAGTCAAGTTTAAGAGTTTCTTTTATGTGTTATTATGTGTCTTTATTTGGATCAGTATTCCCCTTGAGGCAGGAACTAGATTTGACTGACCCTCACTTAAATTCTCTTGTTCCAAAGAGTGCCTAAGAAAGCTTACCTAATAAAAGAAGAGGAAATAGTCATCGCAACTATTATCTGAGTATGTATTGCAGACTTGGTCTTATGCTTAGCTCTTCATGGATATGATCCCATTTAATCCTCACAGTTCAAACCCACCAGCCACTCCTCGGAAGGAAGGTTGGGCAATCCTACTTCCGTAGTGATACTGCCGTGGAAACCCAAGGAGGGGTCGCTATGAGTCAGGTTTGACTCGACAGCACATAACAACAACAACAACAACAATCCTCACAGTAACCGTATAAATTAGATATTATTGTCCCAATTTATAGATGAGGAAACCAAAGCTTTGGTTAAGAAAGTTTCCCGAGGGCATACCAATAATCACTAACCCTTTGGGATTTAGAATCAGTCTTAACTTAAAAGTGTGTATTTAAGTATATATCAGTATGTCTCTGTTAGTATTAGCTAAACCAAGAAAATGGAATTAAATTGTTTTTTAAGTTAGGGAGTTTCAAATTGGGTAATTTCCTAAATTAGATACAACATTTGGGCAGTAACAAAGATCCCTGTGAACAAAAAGCTGCTTAAGATTCAATTGATCAACAACATATTTTAAGCAATATTTCATGTAAATCATCCCAGCCACACCAGACTTTGGATCATCTCTTCATAGCAGTTTGTTGCCAGGAGAATTGACCAGTAACCAGACATACTCATTGCTCTTGGCACACTACCCTTCTTCTGGAACTATTGTAAATTTTAGTCTGAATTCTAGAAGCCACACTTCCTCTTCTCTAACAATACCTCAGACATTGCTAACTGGGCATAGGCAAGGTCTGTCTTTGCTGATGTTAATTAATGTCAAAAAGTAGCCCTTGTTAGATAAGGTTATTTTTCCAAAATGTCCCTGTTGTTGTTTGTTGTTATGTGCCATCGAGTTGACCCTGACTCATAGCGACCCCTCCTTGGGTGTCCAAGGCAGTATCACTATGGAGGTAGAATGTCCCTGGAGATAGTTAATATAACTTCAGGATAGTCATATGGGGCCACTGGGGAGTACATGGAGAACTATTTGAGGAGGCGGCATAGCAGAGTGGTTAAGAAAATGGACCTTACGCTCGAGTTCCTGATCTGCCACTTAAGAGCCATGTGACTTCGGGCAAGTACTGATCTTTCTAAACCCAGTTTTTTCATGTATGAAATGAAGATAATAGTATTCTCATAAGGATATTGGAGGATTGAGTGAGAAATCATCCTAAAGCCCCAAATACAATGCATGGTACTGAAGGTTATTATTTTTATTGCCATTTAGTCATATCATTTAGTAGCAGATGCGGAATTAGAACCTAGGCTCAGTGACATGAAGTCCAGCACCTACCTCATTTGCTGAATCATAATTGGTGGAACATAAGCATCTGCCTTCTCTCCAGAAATAAGACCAAGCAGTAAAATTACAAAATGAGTTGTTACAAGTTTGACCAATTCTTTCCTATTACTGTTCTGGGGACTGGCTTTGGTGTCAGTACCCCATAAGCACAGATCATTTCTCCCCAGGGAGTAGATCACTGTGCATCTGCACATCGCCCCGGGAAGCTGTGGAAGGGCGGTCAGCCCCTCCTGAAGGACATTTCCCCAAAGAAGGAATACAGCAGCTGCATTTCCCTCTGCTCTTTCAGGAACAAGCCTTGGTTTTGTTTTTTTTTTTAACATCTGCCCTTCTGTGGCCTTGCAGCACCAATTTTCCTTACGCCTTTCTCTGGCTTGAGGCCAGCCTTGAAGACTTCCCAAGACTTGTTAGAAGTGGTTATAAGAGCATGGGTAAGGGTCATATCCCAGAGTCAGACAGATGAGGGTTTGAATCCTTTCTTCACTACTAGTAGCTCTGCAACCTTGGCTAAATTATCTTCTCTCCAGCTTCAGTTTTCTTATCTGTAAATTGAAGAGGATGATGGTACCTATCCTGAAGGTTACTATGAGGTTTAATAAGACATAAAGTGCTCAGCATAGTTCAGGGTGTGTAAGACTTAGCAAAGTAAATTCTTTCTCATCAAGCTCCAAGCTTCTGACTTGATGCATAGGAATGAATAGAATGCTTCCAATGTTTTTAAAGTTTGGGAGTCTTTGCTTGAAAAAAGTACTAAGTAAAATTGGGCTTTCACTAACACTAAAATAACTGATTATCTTAGAAAACTAAATTAGTCTATACCAGATCAGGTTCCAGATGTTGTAGATAAAGACTTGGTTAGTTTGACAAAATGTAACTTTAATTCAAAGGAAAAAGAAATGCTTAAAGTAAATTGACTACCTCACTGATCATCACGTGGCTGTACAACCTTAGGACTATTTTGTGTGTGATCCATGTGAATAGTAAAAAGAATGGATTCTAGAACAACTTCTCATTCCATTTTGTGTAAGAAATAGAGTATGTCTTTATTGCTATACTCAGTGTGGGCAGTTCCTGCCAGCATATGTACTAATGCTCACCAGATAAATGTGGATTCAGTAGTTAAGCCTTTTACATATATAGCCAGACACCTCATTATAATGCCCCTTTTCTTCACATAGCTTCATTGAAGTCCACTGTAAATGTCCCTTTGGCACATACATTTTTAGGCTTCTGTGAACAGAAAGAAAGGGAATGAAGCATCTGTAAAATGTATATTTCATATTTGGGTGTATAAAATATATATAGATAAGTCTGGGTGCGTGAATGTTCACATACCTACAAAGAGAATAAATTTGATCTTTCAACTTTACTGGGAAGCACTCAGAAGGTTCTAGGGACCTTGAGGGTAAAGCTCAGCTTGGCAATAAAGTGATTAAAACAAAATCCTTTTACTTAGTTTAAAAATATCTTGGAAGGTGGCAATATCATGGCACATGTTTTAAAGAAAAACATCCTCACTCATCACTGCTATCACCTAAAAATTTTACAACAAAAATAGTTTGGCCAGGTTACCTTAGCCTCATCTGTTACTCCCTGATAAGGTGTGAAATTTTTATCTTCCAAAGTATATGCACTCACTCAAGCACACCCCAAAACATGGTTTTTCTACACATTTTGTCCTATGAAATATGCCTATAAGCTTATCCTAACAAAAAAAAGTCACTGGCATTGTGAGATATTAAAATGATCAGTAGCCCCTTGCTTAGTCCTTTTTGATTGTCAGTTCTCTCCAAGATCAGTGGGATCTTACAGATAAAGAACTGTTGGTGTACTTACAGAATGTTGAGTATTTTTCTAAACTGCTCGTGTCCATTGGTTGCAAGTGAGCTTCATGACCAGTCCTGCATCAGTGTGTCTTTGAGGGTGGGAGAGCCAGTCCTGTGGGGTATTCACGTGCCTGCAGGGCTTTGACCCGTTCTCATTACAGGAGGATTTTACCTGTCTGGGGCTGGAGATGGTGGTGCATAACTCTGCCCCCCTCTGTCTTCACTTTAAATTTAGACTGTCCTCCCCAGAAGACAACTGAAAAAAATACCTCATTCATTCTCAAGAGGGGCAATTTTAAAATAAAGTACTTCTATAAGTGAGGGTCGAGGAGAGGGGAAGAATAAGTATATTGTGTTTTCTGCCATTAACTTGTTCTTATATTTTCTTATATTTTACTAAAACTGACCTCATCATTTTAAAAATGTGAACTTAGTTTTATTGCTTTTTTCCCTGCATATTTCACTTGTATGCAGACTTACATTATATGTGTGTGTATATGCATTTTTTTTTTTTTTTTTTTTTTTTGTATCGGTTGGGAAGAAAAGATGCCTCATTTTGAAACCTAAAGGGGAGAATAAGAAAAGCCCTTTGTAATATATTGCCATATTATCACTAAATCCCCTGACAGTTGTGACACACAGGCAAGTCACCTGTCACTTAAGCTTGAGGTCTCTTTAATTTTCTCCTGGAATTCGCACCAGGCTGTCTTTAATTTGAGGCCTTTATTGGAATTCTGAAACCTCTCTGCCTCCCTGGCTCTCAGATCTATTCTGAGAGCTGTTACAGAATGTATACAATAACCAACAGAGGGATTCGGAGAGGGCTGGAGCTCTGTTTATTTAACACTCTAGAGGGATTTTTGTGCTTATTCGGTCCTGGATGCCCAGCTTTCAATATCGCTTTGACAACCATTCTGCCCTTCTCATTAATTTTAAACAGTTAAAACACAGGAAAAAGAGGAAAAAGTTTTCATTATTAAAGTGCTTTACTTTTTAATAACAGAGGATTCTGTCCGCCAGGGGAAAGGGCATCCTCACTAATTTCACATTCATATTAAAAAAAAAAAAATGCTGGGAAGGTGACAGTTGCAATGCTGAGGTGGCCTAACGAAAGGAGGGCACCAAAAAAGAAAGGAGAAAAGTTTGCATTTCACAGCAGCTAAGAGGGTTAAAAAAAAATCCTTGTTAATGACAATAGCAAATGTCCACTTTCGTAACATAGCTCCTGAGTGACTTTTCTCTTGACATGTTAGTGGATAAAACCCTTAGGGGGACTACGTACTGTGAAATCAGCTAGGCTGTCATCAACCAAACAGATAGCAGGAATGATTTGACTAAACTAAAAACATTTTCAGGTTGTTAAGTCTCCCTTAATCCAGCGATGAACATCGATCCAAAGAATAAGGCTTTTTCTTCTCTCCCCTTTGTTCTTCCTCTGGCAGCCTTAAAAGTGAGAGCAACTTCATGAGTGTAGGTTAGGTTACGCTCAGTTAGCCATACACAGGCGCTTGCACCCTGTTCTTTACAAAGGTTAAAAGAAGCTTGAGCTGGATCGCACACTCATTTTCTTTCCTAGTGCTCCACATGGGAGTGGGGTGGGGCCAGTCAAGCCTTAATAACACCAAGCAGATGATCTCAGTATTGTGCTAGAGGCACATGAAGCAAACTGGGTTGGAGAAGCTGTGTTCTTTTGGAGCTTACCTTTAATTGAAAACATCTGTGTTCACTTTAAGATTAAAGGGAACAAAAAACTACTAGTTTTCAATGGAGGTGTAAAGAAAGGAAGTCTTTTCTCTGGGACTGTTAAAGGATGAAAAGAAAATCATTTTATAACATTTTCTGTCTGTAGACCCCTGGTGATGCAGTGGTTAAGCCCTTGGCTCTAACCAAGTTAGTGGTTTGAACCCTCCAGCAGCTCCCCAGGACAAAGATGTGACAGTCTCCTTCTGTAAGGATTACAGCCTTGGAAATCCTATGGGCAGTTCCACTCTGTCCTGTACTGTTGCTGTAAGTTGGAATCAACTCAATAGCAACAGGTTGTTTGTTTTGTTTTTTTTTTTTTTTCTGCTTCAGGGTCTTTCAGCTTTCAGATGTTACTTCTTTCAGAGGGAGAGTTTACTGCAAAGATCCAGGCAGTCTTTTAATGTGGTTTGTTGCAACTGCCCATTCCTTACTAGGTTCTTGGGAACAGGGCACAGTGTAGGCACTCAGTGGTTATGGGTTAAATGAGGCTAAAGGAATCTGAAACAATGAGAAGTCTGAACCTTTCTAAGAATTAAGGAAATGTGCTCTGACATTCAAGGATAGGGATAACTTTTTAAGATAAATTTTAAACAGGTCCTTGTTGAATGCTGTTGGAAAGGAAACATCAGTATTCCATTGGTAAGTGTAAAGGAATGGAAGAAATTTAAGGCCTAAGCAGGAGATCCAGGCACTCCTCAGAAGGAAGATTGGGTGATCTACTTCCGTAGTGATACCACCTCAGAAGCCCCCCAAGGAGGGCTCGCTATGAGTCAGGGCCGACTCGATGGCATATAAGAACAACAACAACAACAAGCAGGAGACACAAGATTCATTTGAAAACAGCTTATGTTCAATGATGTTTTAAATGCCTGCATTGGACTTGGAAAATTCCAAAATGTCTCTAATGATCTCTTATTTTGAATATGAGTAATAAGAGGCCAGGAAGAAAAGTAAGTGAATAAGTAAATAAGCAGATAAGTTGAACCACAGCTTCCTCACAGTGCCGTCTTCATCTTGCTTGACTTTACATCTTTATAGCTCTTTTTTTTCCCCCCTAGTAATATTGAAAGGATTACCCTTGTTGGCCCCTGGGTGGTTACTGTGTGATTTTACTGTTATTAAATCTATTATAAACTGCTTCATTATTCCTGACTCCAACTCTGTCTTTCCTTTAATCCTTCCATCACCCTCCCAGAAATCCCGGGCTGTTGGCCCCCAGGAAATCCACGAGCGAGCCACAATCTTGCAGACGGTATTTGAAGATTACGTACACTCCAGTGAAAGGAGAGTCTCCTGGGCAAAGAAAGGTCAGTAGATTTCTTAGGTGATTATGGAGCAGATAGCCCAGCAGAACACCACCCCACCCCTACCCACACACCCCCAAATTGGTTGAGAGGCCAACCAGGGATCTCTGCTCACCAGCAAAAGCCTTCAGTCTCTGTAATTCTGCAGGGTTTGGAAGCAGGCACAGAAGGCTTTAAAATGATATTAAATGTTAATTTCATCCTTCCTCATGTTTTGCGCAAATGAGACTTTATCTTGGCTTATATCAGAACTAGAGCTTTGACCCAACAACTTGGATCCTAGGGATCCATTTCTCTTTTTTTTGAAAACTAGGCATGTTAGTGGAAACAGTGAACCCAATTCCTAGGAAATTTAAAGAGTTAGGTATTAACTTACTCTTCAGAGGACAAGTTGGATACTGGGATCACCAAGTAGACTGAACAGTTCATTTTGAGAAATGAGCAAGGATGGAAGCCAGGGGCCTTATAATAGCTAATACTTTTTTATAGTGGAACGTTCTGTTTCTTGGCTAACGATTGATTCATGTGTGCTAATGAGACTTACTCCACATTGGGGGATCCACAGTTCTTTTCATTAGTTACCTGCTGTTTTGAGAAAAATGCCAGGCTGCCTTATCAATATAGCATCCTTTCTTTTCTTATTGTTATGAATAGAAACATATTTTTAAAAAATCATTTATCCAACAACTATGTATTGAACTGGGCGCTGTTCCAAGTGCTTGGAATATAGCAGGGGTCAGAACAGGCAAAAATCAAAATCCTTGCCTTTGTGAAGGTAACATTTTAGTGGTTGTGGGGGGTGAGCAGACAGTAAGCACCTGAAACACACATACATACACACACAGACAAACCAGGTAGTCTACCAAAAGGTGAAAAGAAATAGAGCAGGGGAAGGGTGATCAAGGGGCTGGTGGGGAACAGAGTGATTTTAAATAGAGGTCAGAGTGAGTCTCAATGGGAGGGTCATAGCTGAGGGAAAACCTGAAGAAAGATGAGCCATGCAGCTGAGAAAGGGCATTCCAGTCAGTGGCAACAGCCAGAGCAAAGGAACTCAAGACAGTGTGGCTAGCAGAAGGGGAGGAGTCGCAGGAGACAGATAATGTCAGGCTTATAGACTGTTGTAGAGACTTTGGGTTTTACCTGGAGTGAAATAAGAGCCATTTAGAGCAATTGGAGCAGAGATATAGCATGGTCTGACATGACCTGGCTGCTATGTGGGATTAGACTCAAGAAGGACAAAGATAAAAGCTGGGAAACCTAAACAGGAGACTGACTCGGAGGCTGTTGTAGTCATCCAGGAAGTAGAGGTTCAAAACTGCTTGGTCAGCAAATATTTTTGAGTGCAGGCGTACCTTGTTTTATTGTACTCCACTTTATTGTACTTTGCTGATACTGCATTTTTCACAAATTGAGGGTTTATGGCAACCCTGCATACAGCAAGTCTGTTGGTGCCATTTTTCCAATAGCATGTGCTCACTTCGTGTCGCTGCATCATATTTTGGTAATTCCCACAATATTTCAAACTTTTTCATAATGCTGTTATGCACATAACTTTTATATACACTGGAAACAAAAATTTGCGTGACTTGCTTTGTTGTGCTATTTGCTTATTTTGGTGGTCTGAAACCGAACCTGCAATATCTCTCAGGTATGCTTATACCTGTTATGTATGTTGGCACCTTATGAAACAGCCTTTTTTTGTGGTCAGAAAACTTGACCAAATCAGAATTGCACAGGGCCAAAAGATGAAGTCCCTAGTAATTACCTCATAAATTACCACCAATATTTAATTAGTGTGTATCCTTAAGAATCTATACTGGAGTGTACCTCTCAAGAGGAACAGAATATTTGGCACAGTGTAACTGTACAGAGTTTGGTCATTTGGTGAAACTTAGGCAAATTCAGCTTGTGTGATACATAACTAGGTGATGTGCTGCTGAATTTCAAGAGTCATAACAAAAGCACAGGAAAAAGAATGAAATAAACCCAAACAATAATCTTTTACTTTGACTTTAGTGTCCATCAGAGTATTTTGGATATCCTGGTCAGAATACTACTATTTCAGTATGACTAGGGTCATCATAGTAAAAGTTACAGTAAGTAGTAGAAAATGTAGTTTTCCATTTTTTCTTACCCTTGTCAACGTTGAATTTGTTAATACGAAGAAACAATCAGAGCTACTTGTCTTCTGTTTAAGAATACTGGAGTGGAGCCACTGCCCGACAACCTTTAAATACTGTTAAGTAAATAAATATATTATTTCTCTTATCAGCTAATTGATTTCCACACCAAATTGATAATGGACTGTGACAAAACCACCTATGTTAGATCTCCATCACCCACTTCAAATATAAAGCTCTCCACTATTATTTCTCTCCTGTTACTTAGGATTATGAATTCTGGAGGTTTGGGGGAATTTTACATACTTGCCATCCTAAAGATACTGAATTCACAATTTAGGAACAGCCTCTATACCCCAGAAGTTGATAGCATTTCAGTCTGCATATGCAAATTCCCCACTACCGACTTGCTTCCCCTTTTATGCCATTTCAGAACCCACCTCATGAATAATTAACAAAGCAGCTGGTTTGTGCCTTTATGGCAGAAAACTGGTTGGAAACTGGGCCAAGTATGCATTTGTTTTCCTTTTGCATTTTCTGACCCAGTCACTGTTAATAACAGTATTTAATTGTTGTCAATTTCCAGAAAGTTCCTTTTCTCCTCTCATTTCTTGCATTTCTTAACTAGGCATTCAGGTGTCAAAAATAGGCAGTTACATAAGTATGACTTCCATACTCCTGAACAAAAATTTCAGAAAACAGAGCCCTTTACCTGTAAATTACCACTTCTGTGGTTTGGTCTCCATCTTCAAGTCTCCCTGAAAAACAAGGGCTACATGTGTAGATTTTTGCCTGTGCTTGGTAGGGGTGCTTCTCCAAGTCAGGAAATCTCCATACCAGTGATGACAATAATCCTCTTAGTGTGATGAGAGGTCACCTGAGTCCTTTACCAAATGCTTTGTCTTTAAGAGAAGTGTAACAAGCCTCTTCCTTTCCTACATCTGTTGACAGGTCAGATGGAAAGTGCATGTACCTTCACTCTGCCCCAACCTGTGCTCTTCTGAGAGGAGTAGGTGGGGAGGAGCAAGTGTTATCTTCACCTGCCAGCCTAGAGTCTTATTCTTTTCTGCGTCTTTGATGATAAATATCATCCATCCATAAGATAGTACTATTCCTGATCCAAAAAGTCCAGAAATAATTCTGATTTTATGAAAAAGAACAAAATGCCCATATGGAGTATTTGAAATAGGTCTCCCCTAATTAATCTACCTCGGGCAATCTACTTCTGTAGTGATACCGCCTTGGAAACCCAAAGAGGGGTCGCTATGAGTCGAGTCCAACTTGATGGCACATAACAACAACAACAATTAATCTACTTTAAATTGGCTAGGAATAGGAATCGGAGATTACAAAGTACTCTTTCTAATTGGCTGTATTTTCACCCGTCATCTCAAATACTCTCATTACTCCTCTACTTTCCACTTGGGTTGGTCTTCTAGCCTCTGTTCCTTCTGCATATTCTAGACAATGCCAACATGAGCCACTACCTGCACCTTGGAAAGCCCTACAAACAGCTGCTGCTACAGCTGAAATTTCTGCTTCTCTGAATCATCTAAACATGGGAGTCCATGCAAGTATGTGAGGACAACCAACTGTCGCTGTCCCCAATGAGACAGGTGCCTTGAGGACAAGGAGATTTAGTAAAAATATGCAGTGTGAAATACTGCCTGACCAGTTGTCTAGGGAGAAAACACTTCCTGCCATTTCTTGGCACACTCATTATCCCTGTAAGGTTGTTAGTTGGGCACCTAAGTCTCCTGGGACAGAAGCTCTCCAGCCTCAGGAAGAGGGAATAAGCACAGGCGGAAGACGGGGGACTAATCTGCTTAAGCAGAAGAAGAGTGGAATGAACAAGACCAGGGCCAGGATTTGGGTAACTGAGATTTTAAAAGTAAAACATCTTTGGCTTGGTTTGGTTTGGTTTGGCTTGCTTTCAGTCTGGATCTTTCAGACCAGGGTAAATGTTGGGAGTAGGTGAGACAGAGGAAACAGTCTCCTGGGTCACTGTAGTTGTAGCACTTGTGTCTCTGAGAACTTGAATATGTAGCTTTGTGTCTAGGAGCCTGGTATCAGAACCCTCCAAACAGTATAGACCATTTGAAATGTTAAAGTTTGTTTTTTTTTTTTTAAAGCTAGTCCCCAGTTATTAAAAGGGGGAGTAAGCACAGATTTAAGAAAGGGGTGCAGAGGAGTTGCCTTGGTTATTATTTCTCATCGATTGGGAAAAGGAGTTCACTTTGCTCAGTAAATAGAGCTTTGATGGATTCTCAGGATCCTTTCAGGAGCTGATCTGCTAAAATGACACTTTTTATTACTGTTCATAAACGCCAATCTCCAGGTACTGCTGGGATATTACATTTAAGCTGTGGGCAAACTTGCCAGTCCAGTGGCTCAACAAGCGAGGGTGAGGGGAGGCTAGTGTTTAGTGCCTCCTTCCATCAGAGAGTGCAGGTTGCACAGTGGATGGCAAGAAGAGCAGGGCTTGAAAGTAGAGGGAGCAGTGATGGGCGTGGGGAGCTGCATTTCAGAGCAATTTCCTCCTTCCCTGTTGCAGTAAGAAAAGGGCAGAGACTTAATTTTCACTGTTATTGCAAGACTTTCAAGGGGATACTGGGGATAGTATAATCTTTTCTCAAAGGAATACAAAGTTAAGATGTCGGTAAAACTCCGCCTTCCTGGGAACTGACTTCTCTCTGGCCTGTGAGGGGATCTAAAACAAGGATGGCTTTTTCTTAGCTTTAAAATGGGACTGCAGTTTCTCTGATAGAATATTTGATTGACTACCTCTAAACTAGGAGCTCTGGTAGCATAGTGCCTAAGGCACTTGACTGCTAACCAGAAGACTGGTGGTTCAAACCCACCAGCCACTCCTCAAAAGCAATGTTGGGCAATCTACTTCTGTAGTGATACCACCTCAGAAACCCAAGGAGGGGTCGCTATGAGTCAGGTCCAACTCGATGGCACATAACAACAACAACACCTCTAAACTGTTGGCAGTCTTTGGATGAACTGTTTCATGGACTATTTAAGATATTTAATAATTTTCTTTTTGAGATTCTTGTTTCATTTCCTTTCTTACCCCTTATTTGAATGGGTAAAAAGCACTTTATTGGCCAATCTTGGATACTGTTAGAATAAATTTGCTTTTAAAATCCCATTAATGCCTCTGGATAAGGGAAGGTTGAGGGCAGGGGTTGTGGTGGAGACAACATTTATAGTAATGTCTTTCATTCAGAGTAAACATACTGATATCCATAACAAACCCTTTTGAATTTTTTTTGTTTTATAACATTGGCATACAATAACTATTCACAAAATTAAAATTTAATTTGGAAAAAATATTCCCAACATAAAGGTGTAATGATTTCCTCACTTTCATTTAAAAAAAAAAAAAAAAGACGTGCTGTGTTGCTCATTTGTTAACTTCTTCACTTTCATTCATTTATATAGGAAACATTTTTCAGGTGCCTGCCATGTGCTAGGTACTGTACTAGGCTCCAAGACAATAAAATAGGGCTCCTCCACTTTGGGGTCATTATAAGGTATGCAATCATATCTGAAATTTTACTGGATTTATTTTAAGTGATAATCTTGGACTATGATTTGGGGTTATGTTGTTACTGGTTTTGTTTTGAAGAATTAAAAAAAAAAAGAAAAACTACACAGAAGTACAGAATTAGGGTGTCCATGCATGTTGTAACTGTCCTGGTTGGGTCCCACTATTACCTTGCAAGATGAAGTGCAGACAAAAAAAAGGGGGCGCATTTAGAAGCAATCAACCCAGGACATGGTAGCCCTCGAGACCAGAAGAACCGGATGGTGCCCAGCTACCATTGCCAACCACTCAGGAAAGCAAATCTGGAGATCCTGGATGGAGTGGGAGGGAAAACATGAAACAAAATGCAAAAACTCAATAATGACCAGAATTACTGGTCAGATGAAGTCTAGTGAGACTCCCAATACTATGGCCCTGAAATACATTCAGTGCTTGGAATAAAACTCACCCCCAGGGGCGGGCTCTCAGACAATGGTTAGTGAGATGTATTACCATTGAGTGTGTATATTACCACACACTCAATGGTAATACATCCCTTAAAGCAATAGACTATGGGACACCAAAGGACCAACATTCAAACTGAGGAAATGCAGGAAAACAGGAGTGTATAATTATGAGGGGCACAGGGGGAGTGTTGCAGGGTAGGGAGGCGAAGAGACTGGGTTAGGGCTGGACATGGCGAATGGGGACTGAAACTAAATGTATGTGTGACTTTGAATGTAAAACAAGCTTTTAAAAAAAAAAGATGAAGTGCAGAGATGAACCCCAAGCCCTCAGTCTTGACAAAACCCTCTCCCTTTCTCTGTCAGCTCTGCAGTCCTTCATCCGAGCCTATGCAACCTACCCCAGGGAGATGAAGCACATCTTCCATGTCCGATCCCTCCACCTTGGACATGTGGCTAAGAGCTTTGGGCTAAGAGATGCCCCCACAAATCTTAATGTCTCAGCTATGAAGAAGAAGAAGACAAATCTGAAAAGGTAAGATAAGCAGAATTATCCTGTAACGAGTAGTTGAAAGTCTGGTGAGTGTAGAGAGCTCTGTTCAGGTTTACAGGTGATAGGATAAGGTCAACTGCTGTACTTCATGGAAACACTTCCCTCTGTCTTTTGTTTTTGTGAGAAATTGTCATCAGTATCTGCCCTTTTTTCAATGTAAGTGTTTGGAACAAGAGAAAAAATACCTAATCTTAGTGTTTTTAAGGCATCTATAGAAATTCAGCAATATCTTCCTGGCAAGCCCAAATGTAGTGGGTATATTGGAGCAGTAACACAAAGGTTGTTGCTGTAGAGTAACTAGGGAACTTGCCACAGTTGGAACTTCAAATATACTGTGGCCACTGTGGAAAGCATCTGATACTTGTACAAAAACTTCCAATATGTTTCATGAAATTAGCTCCTGAGGCATACCATGTAGTGAGATTGGAGGATGTAAATACCCCACCAAGCTCTGCAGATTTGCACGAGCTAGGAAGCTAAAGAACTCTAATTGGATGCTTCCAGGGAGTTAGTATTAGGCTCCTCTTGGTGCAGTGGTTAAGTGCTTGGCGGCTAACCGAAGGATCGGCATTTCACACCCACCAGCGGCTCTCTGGTAGCATAGTGGCTAAGACACTTGCCTGCTAACCAGACGGCTGGCGGTTCAAACCCACCAGCCACTCCTCGGAAGGACGGTTGGGCAATCCTACTTCCGTAGTGATACTGCCTCGGAAACCCAAGGAGGGGTCGCTATGAGTCGGGGCCGACTCGACGGCACATAACAACAACAACAAGCGGCTCCGTGGGAGAAAAGACCTGGTGATCTGCTCCTGTTAAGATTACAGCCTAGGAAACGCTACGAATCAGTTCTAATCTGTTTTACAGGGTTACTATGAATTGGAATTGATTCAACAGCACACAACAATGGTATTGGGCTCTGTTGTCCAGGGTGTCATTCTCCACGGTGCTGACACATCTCAGGCCTAAGCATTGTTGCACACAAGAGCAGAAGACTCTTTCCCTTCCAAAGAGTGTGTTGAGAACTGACCAGTGGCTCTATTGTTATTGTTAGCTGCCATCAAGTTGACCCTAACTCATGGCAACTCCATGTACAATGGGATTGGGCCACTGTGTTCTGTAGGGTTTTCATTGGTTGATTTTTGGAAGTGAATTGCCAGCCCTTTTCTTCCTACTTCATCTTAGTTTGGGATCTCCTCTGAAGCCTGTTAGCATCAAAGCACCATGCAAGATTCAGGAACACTGGTGGCTATGTTTGAAGTGCACTGGCCGGGAATCAAATCCGGGTCTCCCACGTGAAAGTCAGGACTTCCACTGCTGAACCATCAGAGGTTCTAGTGAGAGGGAAATCAGAGTGAGAAACATTGCCCTGTGGATTGGAGGGTGTGCTCTTAGTTCATCTTACAATTTCATGGGATCCTGAGATGATTTCCGTCAGCAAACTACATTTGCAAAATATCTTCTTTTTTTCTTTTGCTATTGGGACACAGAACTTCCTAGGAGCTGTGTCATGCTTGAATTATGTCTCCCAAAAATATACTTCAACTTAGCTGAGCCATGATTCTCAGTGGTTCGGCAGTTATATAATGATGTAATCTTCCCCATGATATGCTCTGATGTGATCAGCCGGTCAGTTGTGACAGAATTAGGGTGAGATGAAATACCTTTTCTCATGTCAAACCCTGATCCAATGTAAGGGGAGTTTCCCTGGAATGTGGCCTGCATCACCTTTTATTTTACAAGAGATAAAAGGAGAGAGGAACGAAGAGAGAGGGAGGTATCTGACTACCACCAAGAAAGAAGAGCCAGGAATGGAGTGCATCCTTTGGACTCAGGGCCCCTGCATTGAGAACCTCCTAGACCCAGGGGAAGATTGATGCCAAGACATACAGCAATCTTCAGGTCTAAGATGTTGAAAAGGGACAAGGACCTTCCCCCAGAGCCAACAGAGAGAACACCTTCCCCTAGAGCCAGCGCTCTGAATTTTTGGACTCCTAGCCTCTTAAACTGTGAGAAGATACATTACTGTTTGTTAAAGCCATCCACTTGTGGTATTTCTGTTATCATACACAGCAATGGGTAATTAAGACAAGCTAGGAGCTAGAGGATTATAGACACCATGAGCTGGTTTGGGGAGGAACTTTGAGATGGATTGCCATTACCACTTATGCAACCTTTGCATAGGAAGAATAAGTAGAGTAAATGTTTGGGAGTGCAAAGACTTTTCTTTCACTGTCCCCACTTTTATTATGGAATTCTTGGATATTCTGGACAGTTATTTCACATTGTGTATTCTTCTTTCTGCACATTAATTGCAAATGCCACAGAATATACTTCCCTTGACTCTGAGAATCTGTAGGCAATACCACACTTTCCTACATGGTCCAGCACAGTATCTGTGATGCTCATTCACCAGGAAGTGTGATTACCCCATCAACCCTGTGAGGACCCAACATCTTGTGGTGAAGTGGCAAAGGAAGAGGGACTGCCTGTTGTAGGGAAATGGTCATTGGTCTTGGAGTCAAGGCCCAGCTCCATTCTGGTGTGGGTTTTAGACCATAGGGTTTCCTCAGCTACAAAAGGAAGAAGATAAACCATGTTTTAGCTACTTTACAAGATTGTTTTGAGGATCAAAATTAGGTGGTACATGTGAATATGCCTTTTGAACCATAAAGAGCAATACAGATTAAGTGTCAGGATAGAGAGCTAGAAACCAGATGGATTAAGATTCAGGAACATCCAACTTGCTGTCTTGGGACTTGGCATCTAGGCAGCTTTTTACAATGGCTAAAGTTTTGTCTGATTCTAATTCCAGCTTTGAAATTTTTAAGATGCTTGGTTTTTGTTTTTTTAACTCTTGTATTGGTACCTCTCCTATAAGATAATAGTCCAATCAATCTGTGAAGCAGATAGAAACTACTTCTCCACACACTATTGTACTGCAGTATCCAGGTGACAGTGGCGTGTACAGCTCTGGTGTTTCCCAGGTGGTTCTGAGGTCCAGAGTGCAGAGCAGAGCACTGCCTGCTGCTGCACGCTACTTGTCCTGGGCAGAACTGCCAGTGGGGGGAGAAGACTCTCCAGGTCTACTCCCAGATACACATGGCCATGCCAGAATCGGGGTACAGTGATCAGAGTTAGTTCCTTGCCTTTGGATTTGGTGTAGTTGGTATCTGCACATACTGACTTTGATTTTGAGTTTGTAACTAAACCATAAGGCTTCTCAATCTGCATCTGAGAATGACCTTCTTATAATCTGGAAGTCTAACCATCATTTCATTGTCTCTGAAATGTTGACACTTTGAGAAGGTAAGAATAGACCTGCCAAGCTGTTAAGAAACATATCTTTGTTTATGCCTCTCCCTTCAAATAAATGCAATCCCGGTATTTTATTGTTAGCAGATGATCTATGACTAGGAATTTCATTAGCAAGTGTTAATCCAGATAGCAGCTCTTCAGCCTGGGATGTCTTCAGCGCTTACCCAGATCCTGGAAAGCAAAGCGGGGAGGCAAGGAGGCAGTTGGGAGGGGGGATTGGAGACAGCATTGTCCTTACCTTGAGAAGCCACTAGGGAAAGAGCAATCCGCCGCCTCCTGCTTCAGCTGACCCTCACTAGCAGATGGGCACCAGGACTACTATACCCCTGTGAGCAGGGGATTTAACAGGGCTTTATTTAGGGAAGAATGGGCTGATTAGCCGATAAAGAGCATGTAAGATGGTATGGGGCAGCCTTTGATGTCTGGCTGGCGCGGCAGGGAGCTGGGTGGTGAGTGACAGCAGTGTGTCACAGGATTACTCTGCTCATGACAATGCCACTCTCTGTTCTTGCCGTGTCACCACTCTGGTATAGCTACTTTTTCTGTTGTTATGTCCTTCTTTTGAAGGCATTTCTCTCACACTCCTTATATCCTCCTACCCCACCCCTGCCTGTATAACGCAGACGGGCATTCTAGGATACACTAAGTACCTTTTTTTCATTTGAGGAAACCTTGTCACTCCTGAAGGAAGAATGACTTTGCAGCTAATCTGCACATGGACCGTATAATTGTGGTCAGGGTTAGAGGCAGAGAAAACTTGACAGATTTTCCACACCTCAGTCAGGGCTCAAGCAAATGCCAGTTGCTACTTTTTCAGGACTGGAAAGAAAGTCCATTAAACCCTACAAAGTATGGAGAGTTATGCTGTGGCCACAATTATTGTTCTGAGCTGAAACGTCTCCTCTGAAATCCATCTGTCAAGAAGGAGAATGGAACCCTTATGTTTTATATGGGTGAATAAAATAATAGCACTAAATTCTGTGAACTATTCAGCACTCCGTTTTATGGTGTTTACTGCTGAGAACAATTATATATTATGTGCAAAGCTCTGATACCTGCAAACCAAATCTGTCAGATCGTAAACAAAATCTTTCCTTTAATCACCTGTCATACGCCAAACAAGAAGTTCAGATGGGGTATTAAAAATATGAATCAAGGGCAGGTTAGGTTAGAAGACTCTTAGATATTTCTATACAATGCCAAAGGGAATCTTTATCTCATATGCTTCTCTTCCTTTACTCAGCACTTTTCAGGAAAAGAAAATAAATAATTAATGTCCACAAATGAGTTCTTAATAACCAGGTCTCTGCTACCTTTTCAGTCCTCAGTTCTGGAAGGAAACACTAAATGTTTTCCCCCTGTGCACACAGAAATACAGTCATAGTCACAAAAACTCTCCTGACACCTACACACAAACCTGTCAAAACAAGCCCCTCCCCTGCCAAACACCTACATATACATGTACACAGATAGTTGGTGATATTGGTAAAATATTGAATGGCCCCTTAGCTACATCCATCACAAGAACAGCATTTTTCCTCTGTGAAATGCAGTTCTTATTTTGAAGCTATGTAGATCCAGAAGTTCCTGAGAAGCAAAGGTAACATACCTTCCAAACCTCTGCACTTTTTCAGGAGATGTAGAGACCCAGGACTGTCACCTGTGGG